TCACCAGCACCAGTGTGACTACCAGTGTCAGAAGTGCTAAGATAAAGTTGAATAGTTCCAGTAGACTAGTGTCTGAGCAAGAGATTTCTATGAGGGGTCCATAGTCACAGTAATAATGATTTAGCACATTGGACCCACAGAAATCCAGATGACTGGTCAGGATGATTGGGAACAAGATGAACAGGAAGCCACAAAGCCAAGAGCAGAGAACCATCTGGAGGCAAATCCTGCTGTTCATAATGGTGGTATAATGCAGAGGTTTGCAGATGGCCACATAGCGATCAAAGGACATGGCAGTCAGAAGGTAAAATTCAGTGGCCCCAAAGAAAATAGCAAAGAAATATTGAGTGAAGCATCCAGCAAAGCTGATAGTCTTGATCCCAGTTGAGATGCTGAATAGCAGCCTAGGAGTGAAAGTGGATGTAAAGGAAATTTCTAGGAAGGAGAAATTCCGGAGGAAGAAATACATGGGAGTCTGGAGGTGGGAGTCCAGCAGGGTGAGGATGATGATTGTCAGATTCCCAATGATGCTGAACAGGTATGTGAGGAGGAGAAATATGAAAATGATAATCTGAAGCTCTGGAATATCTGTTAGTCCAAGAAGGATGAATTCAGTCAAAGAGTGGTTTTTCATTGCAACTTCAATTTGCTGTGAAGCTGAGAAAGGGAAGAGCAGTATTGGGAAGGGGGAAGTAGCTGAGGAATATTGAGCAGAATATTGAGAATATTTAGATTTCCCTTGAAACTTATTTAGAGGAAATACCTCTGTTTAAACCAGCCCTCATTTTTTTTTTACTTCATGCTTAATTGATCATTAAAAATTTTTCAAACAAGATTTTAAATAAAAATACCCCAAAGATTAGTAGAAATTCAAATTGATAAAGATCTGATAATTCACCACTATGGAAGGGTAACATTGATGACCTCTGTACATACTCACTTTTTCACTTGGAAAAGATGATGAGAGATTGTATCTCTGGAGCTACATAATGTCAGAACTGAGATGTCAGGTGTGCATGAAAAGGGTCTAATAAATTATCACATATTTTATTTCTGAATCCTAATGTATGCCCTGATTACTCACAAAGTATTCAGGCAGGCTTTGAGAAGAAGGCATTTCTGTCTGTCCCTTCATTTAACAATTGCTTATTACTGCCCTTCCTCCATTGATTCAAATCAGAACTCCTCTTACAATTTCTTAAGAAGCTGGCTTATTTAAAATAATCATAGATCAGGGACACACCCTCTTCTTTAAAGTCTTATTTTCTCCATTTTGTCTGAAGATTGGTAATGAACTTCATTGCAATTTTATACCAGTTTCAGTGGTGCACATTTCTTCTGGTTTAATCAACAGAGTCACTGGGGGATAAATTATTGCCCAGGGACCTAGGTCCAGAAATGCTAATTAGCTCCTGGAAAAAAATAATTCTGAGAATTAACTTTGAACAGGAAGCTAGGAAAGATGTTCCAAACCGACCCAAGAGGGAGCCGACACTGAGCATCACTAAGAGGGTAAAAACCTTGTGGGAACTGATGCAGTGAACATGGCAATAGTGAAAAATGAAACATGACAAGCTTCTTTATAGTAATAATATTTTTATTAAAGCATAGGGTTATACATAAGAGTGGTGCTTATTCTAACCTGATCATACATGCATGAATACATTTTGCTCCATTTTAGTCCCCAGTACAGTTTATTCCCTCTTTTTCTCTCCTCTCCCCTCCCTGGTTCCCTTTTTTACTTTACTTTCCCTCTATTAATTTATGATTTTCATTGGTGCTTCATAGATATACATAAAGGTGAAATTCACTGTGGTATGTTCATATATGTATAAAGCATAATTTTGTAAGTTTCATTCTTCAGTTCCTCCCCTTTCCTATTTATCTTCTCCCCCCTCAATCCCCTTCCTCTATTCCACTGATGTCCATCCTATTTTAATGGAACCAATCTTTTCCCTTCTGTTTGCTCTAACTTCCATATTTGAGAGAAAACATTTGATCCTTGATTTTCTGTGTCTGGCCCATATCTGTAAGAATGTTGTTCTTCATTTCCATCCATTTACATAAATGTCATAATTTCATTTCTCTTTATTTCTAAGTAAAACCCTATTGTATACACATACCACATTTTCATAATCTGTTCATCTGTTGATAGTCTCCTGGGTTGATTCCTTAACTCCATTATTGTGAATTCTGTTGCTATAAACAATGATGTCCCTGTATCACTAGAGTAATGCTGATTTTTATTTTTTCAGAAAAATATCAAAGAGTAGAAAACCTGAGTCATAGGGATCTGGTCCTAGTTTTTTTGTTTTGTTTTGTTTTGTTTTTTTAGAAATATTCATAATACAGTGATTGTATAAATTTTCATTCCCACCAACAATTTATGAGTGTACCTTTTCCTATATCCTGGCCAGTATTTATTATTATTTGTATTTTTGATGATTGCCATTCTAAATAGAGTAAGATGAAATCTGAATGAATTGTTTTCTTTCCTAATTTGCTGATTTTATTTATACATGACAATAGAATCTATTGTGACACATGTGTAGAAACATGCAATATATCTTATTCTAATTAGAACCTCAGTCTTGTGATTTACATGATAGTGAGATTCACTGCAGTGTATTTATATACGTACATAGGAAAGCTATATCAGATTCATTCCACTGTTCTCCCTATTCTTCCCTCCCTTTCCTTCATTACCTTTTATCTAATCTGCTGAACTTCCATTCTTCCTCTCCTGTCGCGACCCCCTCGCCAGCAAGGAAGACA